CTTTGAGGACCGGTGCTAGCTTGGAGGCGGCAAAAATCACAACCGCCTTAGCAATCGGGTGATTGCTGTTCTGTTCGAGCTCCATAACGGCGCCCCAAAGATCATCGACGCCTGCGCTATGTGTTACCTCATGATCAGTGATAGAAGGTTCGCCGCCCTTGGTAATAGTGCCGGTTTTATCAAAGACGATGCAGTCAAGCTGGCTGGCCTCTTGGAAGGCTTCACCCCCACCTTTGACGAGGATCCCATGCTGAGCCGCGAGACCACCACCGACAAAAAGGGCCGTCGGCGCTGCGAGTCCGATACCACAGGGGCACGCGACAACAAAAACTGAGATGGCGAATTGCAACGACCAGAAACTCCAGCCTCCCGGAGTGTCGGCCTTCCAGGAGTCGGGCAACCGGCTGGAGACACCAAGGCCCAGCCAAATTACCCAGTCCAACACCGCGATGAGGGTGATGACGGGAACAAAAAACCCCGTAATCAAGTCTGCCGTGCGCTCGATTGGCGCTCGACGGACCTGCCCCTGGCGAACGGTGTTGATGATCTGATCCAACATCGAGTCGCCTGAAAGATGGGTGACACGGACCAAGACCGGGTTTGCCTGGTTGACTGTTCCCGAAAAAACTTCGTCTCCAATGGACTTGGAGACCGGTCTTGATTCCCCAGTCAGACTCGACTCGTCAAACTGTGACTCTCCGTCGATCACCGTTCCGTCATACGGAGGTGAGGCACCGTTCGCCACCCGCACCACATCTCCGAACTCCAGTTGGTCGATTGGAACTGTGCTGGAATCCGCAGAGGCGGAGAGGCTACCCGCTCCGGCCGTGTCCACAAGTGTGGCCTCTCTCGGGCGCAGCTTGCCCAGGAGGCTAACTGCATTTCCCGCTTTGGCTTTGCTGTAGGCCTCGAGCAACCGGCCGATCAGTAGGAACATGGTCAAAAAGACAACCGCATCGAAGTACGAGCCGGTATGAGAAGCTTTGGGGCTACCGTGTGGCTGCGAGGCATTGATGGCCAGGATAGCGATGGAGGAGAAGTAGGCGATGCTAGTGCCCAGTGACATAAGCATATCCATACTTCCAAAGCGATAGAATCTACGCAAGATAGGAGTTTTGCTTCCGGGTCGCCAGAGCGCCTTGAGCTCGGTGAGCATGCGGCGGTGGAAAATGTCTGCAGCGAAGAAATAGACAGGACTCGACGTGATGAAGAGCGCCCACTCAGAGCGTGATGCTTCACCTGACCACATAGGCTCCTCGAGGTAAATCCGACCGGGATTGTCGTTGTGGACCAGGGACATATACACCACACCGATGATAAAAGTCGGGATGGCAGCTAGCACGGCCAAAATCAACCGGCGAGCGATATGCCATTGATGCCGGCGATGCATCGCCTGAGAGCGTTCCTCAAGGCTCGGAGGGTGGTACACTGAAACGGTAAAGGCTTTATCGATATCGGCAATCGTGCTCATGATATGTCGGATGGTAAATTTTGGCGCCTCAGGCAGATAGCTCACAGTAATCTTGGGCTGTGTCTTGCTAGGAGGTGCGGTCACTTTTAATCTGTCCGAGTAGACGGCGAGGGCATCGAGAATCCGCTGTGGACACTGTGGACAGTGCATCCCCTCCACCTGGATGGTCACCGACCGCTTCGAGCTGGGTTGACTAGATGGGGCTCTGCTCTCGACGTCGCCGAGGGTGGCCGTGTAACCAAGGCTGTTGATAATGCCAGGAATTTCGTCCAGGTGGTCCTTTCCTTGGAACTCCACCATCGCACTAGCGGAGATGAGGTTCACATCCACTGTGGTGATCCACCCGTACTGTTTCAGCGTGTCGGTCACTTTCCCGACGCAGGAGCTACAGGTCATGCCTTGGATGACGTACGAAGCTCGCCACGTATCTTCCGGTCCGGATGCACTCGGTGGCTGCTGGAGTCGGATCTCCTCACATTCGATCAACTCCGTGGTATAACCCGTTTCCCTAACCGTCTCGAGCAACTCGTCTATGTGCGACTTATCCAGGAGCATGATAACGGCACTGCTCGTCAAGAGATTGACGTCGGCCGATTGTACCCACGGTCGAGTTTGCAAGACCCCGGTGATCTTGCTCACACAGGAGCTGCATGACATCCCACTGACGGACAATGTGACTCGCGCCCGAGTGTCGATGAGGTGGTCATCCATAACAGACACGAGCGCTTCTTCTTTTGTCTGACGGATGTGTCGACCGAGCCGATCTTTTTTGTCGGCGACTGCTTCCTTGTGAACGGTAGAGGACGTCTTCGACGACAGCATATCGAGCTGTGCGGAACATGCGTCGCATTTTGAGAGGTGCAATTCGGACTGAGCAAGGACGTCGTGTTCGAGCTCGCCACGGGAGCTTCTTCTTGGAGCTTCTGCGGCGTTGGCCTCGATATCACCCTCGCTGGCATCGGGAATAACACTGTCAACCTCGAAGGCAACATCCTCTAGAGCGCGTACGATGCGGTCGGCGCTAAGCGTAACGGAGTGCACGATTTCGATCTCATGTCGAAGAATAGATGTCGAAATGGAAAAAGGAGGCGGCTTTAGAGCCGAAAGAGTCTCCTCGACGTTTGTCACGCACGACGGGCAGTGCAAATTGTTGACTAAGATGGTGGTCAGCCTCGACTGAGGCAGCGACAACTTATCACTCGGAGCCATCTCCGGCGGATAGACGAGAGGGTGAGAGACCAAAGATCCATAAGGTGGTTTTCCGATCTGCGGAGAACAGCTAGCTTTTATAGATCTCGAGCCTTGGTTCAGGATTGGACAGGGTGACTGATTTCGAACGTTCTAGGGTCTGCAAATGTATTACAACTTCCACCACGCTACCGCACTAATCGCGCATGTCCGCCTGCCAGAGATGACAGATGCTGATTCGAGATCCATGAAGAACTGGATGCGTTATTTGTGCGGCGTTATTTGTGCGGCTGAGGCAACGCGGGAAGAAAGCTAAATCGAGGCGCCACTTCACCACGATCTTACCTTAGAGCGGGGGGCAACGCATACAGAGAAATGTAATATGGCGAAAATAACGCACTTCAGGCCATAGTAAAAATAGGCATATCATGAAACCTCAAAAAATTAAAATTACCATCTCATTTTTAGTATTCAATATGTCGTGTCAAAGTTGTGAGTTCCCTGACGACAAAAGTCTCTCCGCACGCTTTTGATTAACTTCGACAGTTATACCCAGGTCTGCTTATTGTCCAGTTCGTATTGTTGGTTACCAGTATGCTCATTCATTTGTCATGGACGCTTACCAATGTATAGGTCTAATCCTTGATACCGTCCCTGATTTTGTTGTCTTTGCTGGCGCAGTCACTGCAGCTAGCATACTGATATTGCACTTTTTTAGTTTTATTTTTATTTTTATTCTTTTGGCCGTCTCGATCTTGATCCTCGCGTGGAGCACCCGGCGAGAAGGCTTCAGTCGTAAAAATATCCGCCGGCCGATGGTCTGTGCTTGTTTGCGCAATGTCACCAACGGGTTCAGTCTTCCGATAAAGCGTCATAGCTGCCACTGGTTTACTCTGTTGGCTTCCTACGAACGGCTCGAGCCGAAATAGAGGTGGATATGAGCATCCTTGAGAGCATTCAATTCCGTTCTAGGAGCTTGCAGCGATCATCCAGGAGCCAAGATGATGTATAGATCATTGCCAAAGAACATACGCAATGATTGGTCCCACCTAGCTTATGTGGGTTTTCCTAGGCGCCTGAGCGCCTTTGCATTCCTCGCGATGTGTTTCGTCTTGTATCTAGGATCTAGAAGCCCCTAGCGACACCTTGGTAATTATCTCTATCCAAGGACATGCTCCGAACTTCGATATTTCACATGATACCCTACGTTCAGGGTGCGTCAATCAATCTCTGCCCCAAAAAAGAGCCAGGTATACAATGAGAGAGGACGTACATCAAATTTCTTCCTTTAGTTGGGAGGGTGCACGTGCAAACAGTGACTGAAATGGGAGCGTCACAATTTCATCGACTTGTCTGTGCCACAATAACTGAAACATCACCTAAAATACCGCTCTCCTGAATAGGGGACATATTCACAGTGTACTCTTCACAGTTGAGGTTCGCCATATCAAACTGATTATGAGTCCGAGCCCATGGACCATTCCAATACAGCGAGACTATTTGACCGTCGATATCGTGGTATAAATCCAAAGTGCCTTCGACCCCCACTCTGTAAGTTGCACTGCCACAGAATGATATTGTTCTGTTCTCATCATGTGGAATCATTATTTGATTCACGTCTTCGGGAGACAAAAGCTTAGCGATATCGCTCTTTTCGTACGGTTGACCACTTCCCGAGTAAAGTTAGTTCAATTCCAGTCTCTGAATGGTAATATTTCTCAAATACCAGGTTATGACGGTGTTCTTGATAACAATGTTGCCCTTTGGAAGATCGTTCTGGACGTTGATGGAAAGACGCTGTGTGACATGATGTTCCATCTTCGAGGATTTGAACTAATACTCTCAGGAAAATGTAGAGTGTACTTGTTAAAATAGAAACTCGCAATAAGAAAAAGTTTCAGAACTAATATACCCGTCCGAGTGCTTTTCGCCACCTGGCACGTTGGGTTCTGGGCTGTCTCTGCTTTCTGCGTTACGCGTAAGAGACATCAATATTCCAAGGAACTTAAAAGACCAGGCCAACCGTTCTGAAGGCCAAGCATCAATATCCAATGCGATCGTTAACTTTTTGACAATTCGATTGTGGGCCCACTTCGGTCATTTGACCAATCCACATTCTTCTATGCGCGATTAGTGCGTAAAATTATGTCATAGTTTACCAACAGGCCAACTTTGCGCCATGTCCCTGACATCGAGCAGTGCCAAGACCGCGCTAAAATCCGCGAAAATATCGCAGTCACGTGGCTGTATGGAGGTGACGGATATAATAATGGCGACGCTTTCGCCCCCACAAGGGATTAAAGCGTGCCTTTCTGCAGTAGCTCCTCCTTATCTGCCAAAGATGTCCGTTTGCCGGATTTCGTACGCCATTTGGCTTGCACTTTGTTACTTTGTGTCTCATTCGAATGCTATTCTCCGTACATACAACTTGACGGTGCATAATGACGTTAAAGCTCCGGGTACGTGGACCATGAGCGCCAAACATGGGACTTTCAGAGCTAATTCCTAAATAGATGGTGTCAGCCGCGAAGTCTTTCTAATCAATGGTCAGCTACCGGGGCCCCTAATCGAGGCAGACGAAGGCGACGATCTGGAAATCTTTGTCAAGAATGACCTCCCCGTTGATACTTCTCTTCACTGGCACGGTAAGTCACTTCCATGAGGAAACAGTTTTTTTAGAACCAGTGATCACTGATTGTGCCATAACAGGGATTTTGCAAAGGGGTAGTCCCGATATGGATGGAGTGCCTGGTGTCACGCAGGTCAGTCCTTAAATATTTGACGGTAATTTACATCCTTGTTGCTGATTCTAGACCATAGTATCCCATACCTCCTGGCGGTAACTTCACCTACAGATTCTCGATCAAAGATCAGTATGGCTTCTTCTGGTATCATTCCCACGTTAGAGCATACTACAATGACGGCATAAGAGGGCCACTCTTGATACGACCATCTCCCCAAAGACTGCGGCCATTTGAAAAGCTTGCTCATAGCCCACACGAGCGTGATATCATTCTGCAGACGGAGAGGGACGCTACATCCATTCTTTTGAGTGACTGGACACATGAACTTTCGGACACCATTTACGCTCGATACTTTGAGACAGGCGCTTTTCCAAATTGTGTCGACAGCATCCTTGCCAATGGATTCGGGAGGGTTGAGTGTTTACCGGACTATATGCTCCAGGCAGGACCCAATATGGGATATGAAGATATGAACCAGCGTTCTTCATCAATGATGGCAATGTCAATGGCGAAACGAATGGACATGGACATGGACATGAGCACGGACGCATCCGCCACATCTTCTCAGATGTCAACAGGTACGATGGCTATGGATACGACCGTGGGTATGACTATGTCTAGCACTTCTATGTCCGCAATGCCGATGTCAGCTACAATGACGATGTCGGACATGTCACCGTCCATGACTTCATTGAGTCCCCGTGGCTGTATGCCGCCAATGATGTTTAGGCAAGGGTACAATGCCAGTTCACTCCCACCTGAGACCTGCACCAATACTTCGTCGTCCTTGCTCACCATCCCTGCGGATCACACGAGTGGTTGGCTCGCGCTGAATCTGGTCAACTCCGGTGCAGTCAGCAAGCTACATGTCTCTCTGGATGCACACTCTATGTTTGTCTATGCTGCCGACGGATTGTATGTGGAAATACAAGAGGTGAAGGTGAGCATACCTTTGAAGAGCATCCGTTATATCCCCCAGCCTGGGCTCACCACACGTCATTTTAGGTCCTGGAAATAGAGATCGGCCAACGGTACTCAGTGATGATTCGACTTGATCAGAAACCGGGGAATTACTATCTCAGATTCGCATCATACCCCAATGGTGACATGCAACAAGTGCTTGAAGGGCAAGCTATTGTGTCCTATAACGTAAGAAAATCGGCAAGCAAGTCGCGACCATATCATGCCCGTGCTGACTTTTCGTTTTCATTTTGCAGATGAGCATGATGAGCAGCAGAACCCCAATGAACGTCACGGTCGATCCCTCAACCATTTGGATGTTGACCAACGGATCAGCCAAACCTGATACCAGCGTACTTAATCCTCAGTTGCTTTCTCCCTTCGCGCCTGTCAACCCTCCCTCATCACCAGCAGATCAGACATACACTTTCACAATTAACCAGACCGACATTGTGACATGGGTAGTGAATGACGCCTCATACTCTGAGCCAAAAATACCAATCATCCAGGGCAACGTATCAGACGGTTGGCAGGCGAATACAACCATCCATGTGCCGTCTAACTCAACGATTGATATTATTATGAGAATTGCAAATGATTCGATGGATACGGTAAGTCTGTTAAATTCCAACGACCTTTCTATGATGTGGACAGCTGGAACTAATGGGAGATAAACTCACCGCAGATGAGCCATCCCATGCACCTACACGGCCACACTTTCTGGGTGCTTGGGTCCGGTACCGGCTCTTTCCCGTATGATTCCGCGACGGACGCCCCAGAATCCCTAATAAATCTTCGAAATCCTCCTTATCGTGACACAACTAATCTTCCTCCGTCAGGATGGGCCGTGATCCGGTAAATCACATGGATATTCTACTGGCAAGACAATAGCTTACCTTTCTTGAAAACAGATATGTTACGGATAATCCCGGCGCGTGGATCTTTCACTGCCATATCCAGTGGCACATGGTGGTGAGTACAAATGGCTAGACAGTCGTATCCTGAATAATCGCACAAATCTTGGTCTTGCTAACATTACATTATTTTCCTTCACAAGAGCGGCATGGCACTTGTCCTTGTTGAAGGACAGGATCAATTTCCCGCCCTGATTGGTCAGTCTAATGGTACCACAACTGCTACGTCAGTGGCGCCGATGCGTCATATCAGCTCTCGTCAGACTGCTTTGACTGCTGCGGCTCTCAGTCTCATGATGTTGTGATGTGTCCTTTGATGCAGCAGATATCTCTTTTTCGCCGAGACTTTAAGACTGCCTGGGGCCGGCAGTTCAATATTACTACGCTGACCCCTATCGTGGGCGCGACGCCGATGCCCCGCTCTCACGCTGCCATTGTGGTGCATTATAAAATAAGTAATGCCAAAATCAGTCTTTCCTTTATACATCTGCAAGTGCCGTCGCGGGGGTGTCATGACGCTCCCTATTCGCCACGCTGCCTATTTCCGATACTACATCCCGCTCCTGCTATATAGCAGTGCCTACATAAACTACCTTACTATATAGCAGTTTCTACATAATCCCCTCTGCTATGTAATAGTTTCTATATAGTCCCCTCTGCCAGGAGGAGCAATAACTGATGCTGATGCTGATGGTGATCATAGAATTTCGTAGTCAATTTCTAAGATTCACCGGACTCTTATGGTCTCGGGATTTGGGAAGCAAGTGGGTCGATCCTGTAAGAACTTGAAACTACATTCTGTCCGCAACACCGTTTCCTGTCCTTTCTACCTTTACAATGGCCAAAACGTCCCGCGTACGACCATAATTTAATCATTAACCAATTGACGACACATCATGAATGATAGGGTGTGAAATTTTAAGAAACACTAAATTTCCCAGTGTAGCAAGGGTGTAGCAAGGCAGTTATTTCTGGTGGAAAAGTTAGTATATCCATGTGTAGATAGATATATGTGGAATGCTGAACTCACACCGCAGGCATTGCAAGTGCAATCCTTTGTGGAGCAAGTGCAGCTCTGGGGACCAGTGCAGGAACATGTGGATCCGCAGTTGCAGGCCATATTTGCAGGGTAATGGGTAGTGGTCGCTGAATGTATTGAATGATCTGAGAGGAATCTGATTGATGGTTTAATCACAAAAGGTCTGGGGACCTTGGGAGCCTTTATACTTTCAATGGGCAAGGTAAAAAAAATGATCGGAAACAGACGTCACCCGTAGTCATGAGTCTTGATTGAACTACTGTAGAGGGGCAAGGACTAACGTCATCATTACAGAAGAACAGTTGCGTCGCCCGCCAAAAAGCATAGATAGGCCGTTTCTTTTCTTTGTTTAAAAGAAATAATTAGTTTATAACATTGTCAATTAAAGGGCAATAGTCAATCGATGTCGCTTAGGTGCGAATGCGCACCTGGCACCCTTTTGTTACCTTAAACACTCGGCTGATTTCCAAGCTTCGTACCCAAGCTTACCATACCTAGAATGACGGAAGTCCTACCCGGCTTGATGCAGCGTATCATTTTATATAGTATAGTGGTCTTGGATCCGCCGCATTCAAATGCTAGTGAGAAAGAAAGTATAACTACGGAGTATCTCTAGGGATGAAGATGGATTGGCAACGCCGGGTAAGTGGTCTGAAAGTCGAGGAATACAATGATATATAATATAATAGCACGTGACAGGATAATAAAGTCATAGACCTTTGGTCGGGGGATTCATAAGAAATGCAGATCAGGTAGAAAATCCATCGAGTACTTGGAAAGTCCTTCTGAGAACACGGGACTACCTCTTAAAATGCAATCAGGGGAAAAGGAACCATATCCTGAAGTAGGGCCTTTCCGCACCCACCCAACCCTGGAGCAAAGACGCTAATAATATTCCCTCAGTCATTGTCTGAAAGTGAGAAACGTCACTTGAGCAAGTACGGAAAGCGGCCGCGTGGAGGCTTACTGGGTGAAAAATTCAAGGTACTTAAAATGTGATTTACTGTGAGTGTGCTGACAATCGGAAGGAACGGACGTACTTTGACTCCGGCGACTTTGCTTTTTCCGCTGCTCATCGAGTGACCGATCTCGACGCTCTTCAAACAGGCAGAGCGCATCCCCACCGGGACAATATTTCGCAGCCTTTTTCCCCTATCCCGGCTGCCAGCAACGTTGACAAGAAAGCCAACGAGGATTTGCATAGGAGGGATGCAGGTCCCAAAAGAAGTCTTCTCCATAGGCAAACGAATGAAGACCCCACAGACGAGGACAATCTCTTCTCTTTCGAAGATTGAAACCAAATCGTCACAGCAATATAAATCGTCTCAGCAATATAAATCGAAATGTGTTTCAGCAGAACAGCCAAATAGGGACAATACGACAATTCCTGGGTGAAAGCTTATTGTCGAGAAAGGAGAGCCAGTCGACCAATGATATAACCCCTGTAGCGTAGGTCCTCTGGAAATTCTCCAAGTATAGGCTGCGTCGATCGAAGATATTGCAAGCCTCTTGATTGGATAGTGTGGGTTTTCGTAAGTGTGTTTTGCAGGGTCATGTTATGCTACTCCAAGGTGGAGAAAGGAGTGAGAGAGAACCGATCACACATTATGCCACCCCCAACAAACTAGCTTATTTGCACGGTCGCCCATAGGATCTATGAAATCCATGGCTGTGAAACGCATTGTTTTCTGGGGCACAACGTGAGATATGGCTTTCGCATGCTGGTGCTACCCACTGGTCCATTTCAGTCACGAAGTTTGCGGCATTTGATTGGAGAGTCCTTGCTTGACTCCCTAGTCCTGACCGCGCAGTCTTCTTGGACCGCACAGTCGTGCTCGACACTTTAGTCGTGGCCGACACCCCAGTCGTGGCCGATTCTCTAGTCATGGCCGACCCCCACGGCTATAGTTGTGTGGCCATCAGAGGCACGATTGAGGGCAGCCTGGACCAGTTTCCTTTGCCTCAGACCGCCTGCGCCACATGGGGTGTTGAGCCCATAGTGTGTCTAGACAAACACTGCTCACGACAGAGGGTACAGTACGTTTCAGAGATGAGGTAGTCAAGCTCCAGGGTCTCTCACAGGTGAAGCCTTTTTGTCTGGGCAGCGCCGCAGATCCGTCCAACCTCTGTCGTATCGTTCAACAGACAGCATCGTCAACAACAGCAGTATCCAAAAACCCTTCCACGGAGTTTCAAAGAGAATGGGCAACGGTTGTCCGTGTTCCTATCCAGATACCTGCTGGACTTCTTCCTACATTTCGCAGTGCCAATGTGGCCAGGCATTACAGTATAATCACACGGGTGAAATGCAGCAATGCATATATGAAGCGAATGGTTTTTTGAGGTCCCTGTCCAACTCATATATTCGCCGCAAGAGGGTTCGATACAACAGCAGCAGCATATAAGTTCGTTTCCACCCCCATCACATTCCCTGATATTCTAACATCTTCATATAGTGACGTCCTTGCTTCAGCGCTAAATAACGGCAGGGTCAGTTTCCCTTGCTACGGCTTTCACGTTGATAAGTTGACTGATCTCTCGGGTTTTTGCAGCTTCTTGGTTACGTATAGTCGATAAGTCTGCTCTGTCCTCCTACGGTTTAAGTACATGCCATATTGCCGTGTGTTCAGAATAATGCTACGTACGAGACGTAATAGCAGAATATCTTCAATGGAAATTGTGGAATGTTACATATTCGTCTTTTTCTCTAGATTTGCCATGCCAGAATGGCTTGCCTCATCCAGCCTGTGATTTGTCTCCGCGAGCTTCTTTTGTAACTGGTGAATATAGAGAGTAGCTGCCTCTACTACGGATACCCTGTCGCTATGTTCCGAGGGAAATCGGCCCGCAACCTCTTTGCTTTGGCTGTTTCCATTAATGTCCTGGTGCAATGCACCTCCAGCTGCTTCGGGACATGCGCGGTGGGATATAACGTCCGACAAACCTTTGAGCGCCGTTTTCATGCGGTCTCTTCTAGCTTTTTCGGAAAGCTTGCGGTGCTGACGCTTTGCTGTAAAGTCCGCCATCAATCCGTCAGGATAGAATAGTTCCACTTCTGGCGCGGACGTCTGAGCCATATGCTCGTAATTTGATTTGGAGACGAGAGCAGCAACTTGAGTTCGGATGGCAACTACCGACGTGGGAGTTAGGATATATTGACTAGTTTGGCTAGAATGAAACGTCAACCTTTTTGGTTCGGCTGTGCTCTGAGGGCTTTTGGTTGTATAGTTGGAAGTGACGTAGGATTGATTTGCCTGTATCTCCGCTTCCCGTTGTTGGCTTGCTGATGTTGACTTCCCTCCTGCTTGAGGAAGTAATCCGGGGGGGCGAGAAGGACTAGGTCGAATCTCTTCTTGACGATGTTCTCCCACTCTACTTTCGTGAGCTGAGGACGCTCTTAGGGATCAAGTACATACCGGCCGGTTACTGTCTCATTTCTATCTTCGGACATACCTTTCTCGTGCGACAGACGATGCTCTTCAGTTAAAATGACCCTCAACGGCGGAAGCGTCAAAAACGAGACGGAACTTGTTCTATCAACGTCTCCATCTTCAGTGTCTCTCTGCAAAGCTAGTCGATTCTTGGTTTTTGGCGATGACTGTTCAATTGATGCTGAGTGATTCATTGTAAAAAGAGAAGAGCACTTTCAATGGATCCGCGAAAGTCGGATTGAATTGAAGGATCTAGACCTGAACAGTGCCAGGAAAAGTCAACAACGTAACCACACTCTTTGAAAATGCCCTGGAAGCTCCAGAATATGGGGTTATAAGCCTCTCAGCTTAGTAGCTCGCGTGACCGAACATGAATATCTGTGTTTTCGCATTGGCCCGATTGTAAAGTCCCAACCAGGGTTATTAGAGTGACGCCGTGCTATCTCCCTCGGTTATGGTATACTCTTGTGGCATCTGTCCCAGGGTGTATGTTTCCCGACGAAATATGATCCAATCATCATGCGGGAGTGAGTCACCATTCCACCTTCCGTTTGTATTCACCCTATCCACTGATGTGCCGTGATGAATGCACGCGGCATAAGCGTCGCGCTCAGCGCAAATGGAATAAACGTAGTCACTAGACTAGCTGCCCTAGTACTCAAAGTTTTTTTTTTTTTGGCAATAAGTGACAGTACCAAAAGGCTGGCGAGTGGCCACACCAAACAACATACCTTCTAAACCTAATGAATATCTGGAATTATGAGACTTCACTATATCATGCGTACATTAACAGTCCGCACATACTGAGCCCAGAAGATTTTTGCTGTGTGGTAAT